TCCTCAATATGCCTTCCTTTCCCATTCACTTCTTCAAATGCCTAGTACCCTGATTATAGCCTGTTACTTGCATTGATTTGGTATCTAGAAGTGGGCATTAGTCTATGGATCAAAAAGCTTATCATACTTCCAACGTGTTCTTCAAAGGGCCAAAACTAAGGGTGAACAGCATTCAGATGAGCTTCCTCCAGCTGTATCATCTACACACCCTCCATTAAACCTTTTGCTATAAACTAAATCCCCAAACATTTCCAGCGTTCCAACTTTTACCTGCTCGTAAACAACACACTCAGCTAAGCGTCCTCCATCTGTATTTTCCACAAATCCTTGATACACAAACTTTTTGTTCTAAACTAATTCACCATATATTTCTAGCATTCCAATTAAGTCCAATATCTTGCTTTCCAGAATCAAACCTTAATCAATGCAAAATCCACCTCCAATAGTGACTGCCTGAAAATCAAAATAATATGGAACAAGAACACTGACTTTGATCTTACGACAATTAACATGGTAATTTTATGTTTACATGTCTGCCTCCCATACTGGACCATGAACTTCTTAAGAGACAGGCCTATTTCTTATTTTAACAACAATAATTACGATGACAATAATAACAGCAGCTAATATTTATGGAGAATTCATTCTCTGCCATGCTCTGTCTAAGTGCCTTTACATGAATTATTTTCTTTCATCCTCTTTACCATCCAATGAGGTAGATACTACCACTAATCCTTTTTATTGAGGCACAGAGAAATTTTCTAACTTGGCCAAAGTCACAAAGCTCGTAGGTAGTGGAAATAGGATTCAGACTCAGAAGGCCCGACTTCGAAATCCTTGTTCTTGGAAAGACCTCAATGCTGGCTCTATGTGTATCAGATTCACAAATTGTGCATTGCAAAAGCACTCTCTAGATAAGCCCAAATTGAAGGACATTCGACAAAATCCCAGAAGATTGCCCCTCAAAACTGTTAAGTTCATCCAAAAGAAGGAACATCTGAGAAACTAAGTCTAAAGAGCATAAAAGATACCATTACATGGTATCCTGCATAGGATCTTGGGACAGAAAAAGGACATTAGGTAAAAATGAAGGAAATTCAAATAAAGTATGGATTTCAGGT